TTCCGTGGTTTAGCAGCGAAACCCAAACCAAACACAGATCAAGCGCATTTCAAGCGCATTTCAAGCGCATTTCAAGGGTAGGGAGGCTTGCCAGGCCTTCGAGGAAAGCAAGGCAGCGCATTTCAAGCGCATTTCAAGCGCATTTCAAGCGCATTTCACTAGTAACGTGGATTCCATAAAATAAGAGGAGGTCCCAAAGCAAGCGCATTTCCATTGCATTTCCAAAGAGAAGGATTCCGTGGTTTATCACCGAAACCCAAACCAAATACAGATCAAGCGCATTTCAAGCGCATTTCAAGCGCATTTCAAGGGTAGGGAGGCTTGCCAGGCCTTCGAGGAAAGCGCATTTCAAGCGCATTTCAAGCGCATTTCAAGCGCATTTCAAGCGCATTTCAATAGTAAGGTGGATTCCATAAAAGAAGAGGAGGTCCCAAAGCAAATGCAGATCCAGTGCCTTTCAAGCGCAGTTCAATTGCATTTCCAAAGTGAAGGATTCCGTGGTTTAGCAGCGAAACCCAAACCAAACACAGATCAAGCGCATTTCAAGCGCATTTCAAGCGCATTTCAAGGGTAGGGAGGCTTGCCAGGCCTTCGAGGAAAGCAAGGAGCAGCGCATTTCAAGCGCATTTCAAGCGCATTTCAAGCGCATTTCAATAGTAAGGTGTGCCAAAACCAAAAACAGATCAAGGGCACTTCAAGTGCGTTTCCGACACATTTCAATGATAACCAGGATGCCATAGGTAAACGAAACGAAAAGCACATACAGATGAAGTGCACGCCTTACGTTCTTCAAACACATTGGATGGCAGCAAGGATTGCACACACAGACAGACAGACAGACAGACAGACAGACAGACACACACACACACACACACGCACACACTTGCTTGAGTTGCCAAACAAATCACGGGGCATTGGGCAACAAAATATGTGTCAGTAATCAACCCTTCTCACTATTGTCATGAGAAAAGCAAGCATTCCAAATCACAATTGTCATTTCAAACCCTGCATTCCCAGGTCCGGCGAGGTGTGCTTATTGAACTGTCGGAGTTAGCATTACAGATATGACTTGAACTAGAAAGAAACGCCCTGCGTGTGGTCGCAACGACCAATCCGACTGGAAGCAGCGCAGCTCTGGCAGTCTGGATCTCTGGGTGTCCTGCAATCCATGACAGTCGCAGCTCTATCGAATCGTATTTGTTCGGAACATGTTTGGAGTTTAAACCATAGGGGTTTAAGGAACAGGTTAAGGGGTTAGTCTAGTGTAGGGTTTGGAAATTACACGTTCAGGCTCCCTGACGATGACTGGACGGGCATGGGGTTCAAAACTACACACACTGCACTACTGCCTACTCGGGGCTTACCTATTCCAGCGGCAGCAGCAAAAACAAACCAAAAAACTCATGCATTGCTAATGCCTAGGATGTGAAACCTGAGACTCAGAGTGCTATCAATGACGAATGAAATTGAGAAGCTTCTGAAATGAGCTGCAGCTCCAAGTTATAATTTCTTGAAAGGGCGATTGCTGGCTAACATCTACAAAAAGTATTATTCCGTATATGCTGGCTTGAATCATTGATTCCACATAGACTAGACTTTGATTTCAATAATTTTGACTACATTACGTATGTATACTAATACATTAGGTAGCCGACGCACATTTTCAACCTGGGCACTGCGGGAAAGTCGAGCGTCCGTGCTATGCGTGTGTCTCCTCGTCCTCCGAATCATCGAAGTCCAAAAGAACCTGCGAGTCGAACTCCGGTGTGTTGTACCTTCTCAGTGCCGGCACTTCAAGTGCACGACGGGGACCACGACCTGCCCTGCTGCTCTCATTAAGGGCACGGAGTCGTCCATAGCAGACCAGCGTGGCCCAAAACGTCGCGGCGAAGCAGCTCGCTTCAAAAGCATTGCCAGCAAGATCTGCCAGCAGGCTCTGCGGGAAGTTTTCCAGTCGTGTGTCGTCCTCCGTGAACCATGCCCCTTGCAAGCGCAACGACTCCAATGGGAGCATGCACCGGCACTCCGATGTCAAGTACCGCTCGCCCTTTGGTGTCACGCACGGCGAGTGGTTCGTTAAGTGGGCAAACTTGTCCTGCGAGATGTCGACGACCTGAAGAGTCTCGCTTGGGAAGTTCCTCACGCCAAGCTTGAACAAAGTCCTGCGTTTTCGGGCCGTCATGCACTTGAGGTACGGCCGTGTCCGAGCTGCCCGGCGGAATTTCTTTAACCAGTCCTTGGTGACGATCTTCTCACGTTTCAGGGTCCGGGTGCCCGACGAGCATGTGCTGAGGTGGCTGAAACTTGTTGCCCGGCTTGATGCGAAGGATTGTCGCCGGAATTCTCCCACCAGTCTGTCCTGCGGCTGTGACTGAGTGTCCTGCGACTCCTCGACCTGTGAGTCTTGTCGTTCTGCCCGGCGACGACGAGCCCGTCGTGTTTGGAGCTGCTGCAACTTCTTGTTGTACTCCGTGGTGAACTTCGCCATATGCACGCACCTGCATCAGAACAGAATACAAGTAGAAAGTACTTATTGCATGAGTACACCTAGAAACACACCTGCGAACCTACATTTAGCACTACGTCCCTATTTTTCAATCAAGGCAGTACAACAAGCCGTGGCATGAAAGAAGTATCTTGAAGAAACCTGATCCTCCCGTCAGACGCACCCAAGGACCTTAACTAAAACACATGTCCTGAATCAACTTCAAAACGAGAAAAACAACTGTACTGTATGTCGGTGGTAGGGGAGTAATGCAGCAGCAAATAAGCTCAATCTCACAGAACTACACCTGATTCGATGATGGCAAGGATGTGGGAAGCTACTACTCCTGCCAGAAACCAGAAAGATGAAGACGATACTCTGATACTCTGTCTTCAATTCTCCGAACTTACTGAGTAAAAAATCAGAACTACTACAATATCCCTGGAACCATGCTCCCTGCGAGGTGTACGAGGAACCATTGCCATCTAAGCATGGGCCTCGAGTTGACCAGGTACTCCGACACCGAGATCTCCTTCAGACCCAGGAGTGTGTCCATGATGCTGTTCAGCATCTTTTGTACTTCGTGTTCTGGAAGGAGTCCCTCGAAGATCCGGCGTGGAATGGCTGTCATCCACAGCCGCTTTCGACTTTGTGGAACACCGAACATTCGTGGGTCCAACTCCCAGACATGCAGCAAACGATCTGTCTTTGTGCTGATCAAGTGTCCGACATGGTCCAGGTTGGAGGGTCCAGTGCTGCCGTCGGCGTTACGGGTCTTGGTCTTCAGTCCGGCGACGTTCTCAAACAAACAGAAATTCGGTCCGACGAGGCCCGTCGACTGCAGGTAGTGAACGATGCCCTGCAGCACGGAGCCAGTGCGAAGAGTGCCGTCGGCAACGCAGGATCTGTTGGCCGACGTGGACGACGACGGGTTCAGGACAGAACAATCCTGACATGGGAAGCCCGCCGTCATGACCGTACAGCGTGGCATGCGCACGAACGTGTTCGTTTTCGAGTCCCAGATTTCCTTGTCATATTCCAGGTCCGTCGCGTTACAGAACATGCGCTCGATCTTCCTGTCCGTCGTCAAAAGGAACTGGCGTTTGGCGGGCTCCTTCTCGCAGGCGAACTTGTGAGTGAATGCCGGCGAGTCCAGCTCCCAGTGGAAACGTGCCCAGTCCCAGAACTGCTTCATGACCGTCGCAGCGATGTCCATCCCACTGCAGATCGACCCGTATTGTCCATCGAGGAGCGTGCTTTCACGCACCAAGTCCTGACAGTATGCCACGTCCTCGGGGTCGAGCCTCCTGACCCAGAGCCTGAACAAGTCCTTCGTGCGTGTTGCATGCGCCGGCAGGGTACGTGGAAAGTGTTGCAGGCTGTACTTCGGAATATGAACCTCGACTTGCTTCACCACTTCTGCAGTACGGCGATGGGGTCTGTCCGGCGTGGGTAAGTCCTCCGGCTGGAACTGCAACGCTCGCCGCAAAGCCATGGGTAAGCTACGTGTACTGTACAGCGAGTGCCAGATGTTCTCTCAGGAAGCAGGACTAAGGAACCGGGAGACGATGAGTTTGCCGATAGGTATAGGCGTTCCGAACACAAGCCCCGGCCTCTCGTCCAATTATATAATGCTCTTTATGAATCCTGCTGAACGACGTGCTTTTATCAGTATAGCTGCCCCTGCATTGCACTGTTCAGATGATGTTCTGGAGCCAGAAGACTGACTTGGCTCTCTGGAGACCATCATGAAACCAGGTCGGAAAGGTTGACCCCATTCTTCCAGCAGCAGCAAGAAACATTGAAAAACAAAGCTTTCCAAATCGACAGTAAAAGAAATCCATTGGGAGCCTCTCTGCGACTAGTCCAACCGAAAACTAAAACCACATTCAACAAGAACGAACTAACATCATAGTGTAAGCAGCATTTCAAAACATAGGACATCTGAACATTCCATCCAAGACTGCACTGAACTGTGCGGCCGAAACCGTCCTTGAAGTGCTCCGTGTGTCGCTGCCAGAGTGAGAAGGGTGTGGCCTCTGCCCCAGGGCCTGCAACATGGAAATGGAAAGCATCTAGCCAAGGAGTGTGGGGGAACAGCGGTGTATTATCCTTAGGACTTCAGACACGCCTCTGCATGTACATGTTCTGTAGAACCTACAGATTCCAAATGGCAGAATGAGCGGCCCTTTTTATCCTTGCCGAAGGGCCGTCCTTGACATGCACAAGTCGGTCGTCAATCGTGTGACAGCGGGGAACTGAACAAAAAGAACCCAACCACAAAGTCTAATACATTATTCTGGTTTTCTGCAATCTTCTTAAGTTAATTCTCTTACGAGATTCAATGAACTGATTCAATGATTCGAAACATCGGGTCATCGAACAACGTGTGTCATGCAAAACTTGCACGGGCGAGTCCACCGGCGACAACATTCGTCATCTCTTGTCTGACATAAAATCATACTTTGCGAAAGACACGTTGGAAAGTTATAGCATTACGTACACCGGGGACTTGCTACGGCTCCTCTTCTTCGTCCAGCGACTGAATTGTCCTCGTGAAACGGCCCTGCAAATCCTTCAACAAATCGAGTGAGCTGCGCCTGTCCTGCTCCAATGTGAAGCATGAACCGAAAACGTGTGCAGCGATGTCGTCGTCCAGCAAGTGCAGGTCGCGTGCTCTCTCGCGCCATGCAGTCTGGAAACGAACGAGCGCTTGTGAGATGGTCGGCGTGTGCTTGACGAAGCCCTTCGGGTCGGGAGTGAACAGCGAGCGTGTCGTCTTCGCGTAGCAATCCCACGTCACCACACCGAGTGCCCACATGTCCGCCTTCGGGCCGATCTCCACCTCTTTCATCAAAGTGAAGCTGCTGAGCAGTTAAGGGAAACGACAACAAAATGAAACACATAGTCATACTTCCTGCCAAAAAACAAGTCAATTCTTAAAGACATGGCTGTTACTAGCAAGATATGAAGTTTTTCAGGCTATGTCTTTGACTAAGAAGCTGAGTCTACGACTGCATGTGCTGACATGACTCTTCTATGAATCAAGAATCAGATCTTTGTGTCAAGTTTTCAATTACAATGGCCATTGCGAGTTTGCTAGTAGTAATGACATCAGTTGGATCCGGGAATGCCTGAGGTTGATCTGGTCCTGCAGTTCAGATCCGCAAAATCATAAAGTGTTACTAGAATGAACATACGCACCGGGCTTACTACTTTCAACTTTCTTCGACTAGGATTCATGGTCCAGGCCTTGCCGTCCCCGGAGTAAAGGCACTCGATCGGCCGGTAGTACGTCGTGTAGACTTCGTCAGCTCTGACTTTTGCTTTTCCATTGAGTGGCAAAGCTCGGCAAAAACCAAAGTCGGACAGCACCACCCGCTCGCCGAGGAGAAACACGAGGAAGTTGTTCGTTTTCACGTCCAAATGTACGATGTTTTTGCTGTGCACAAATGTAAGAGCTGCGAGTGTCTGCCGAAAGTACGTCGTTACTTGGGCTCGTCGTGTGCTCCAGGGAACTCCGTCCTGAAGGTCGTCCGTCTTCAAGTCCCGTGTGGCCTTCAAGAGGTCGCAGGAAGCCCGCTCCATTAGAATTCCCGTGTGCCCAGTCGAGGATGTCAGCAAGGCATAGAGTCGCAGAACATTCGGATGAGGTCCTATCTGGCTCAAAAGAGTGAACTCACGGGTCAAGTCCCACGTCTTTTCGAGACCGTCTTGGTGCACGTCCAACAGTGCAGTCTCCCTGTCCGGCGTGCGAACGGCCACTTTCAAGGCTAACTTCAGGCCCTGGTACGTGCAAGCGAAAATCTCCCCGTACGTGCCGCGACCCATATGTTTCTCCTGCACCAGTGGGTCCTCGGCCGTGTAGCGAAAAATGCCACGACCGTCGAAGTCCTGCGACTCTGCGACGTCCGGCAGTTCTCTGTCCATGAACGAAGCGGGGGGAACTTCCGTGTGTTTGGCCTGTCGAAATTCTTCGCGTTGGACCCGATTCTCCTGGTAGCCCTGCCTGGCCTTGCGTGTGTACTCGTCACGGAGGTCCTTTCGGTTGTGCCTCGGGGAACAGAGGAATTTTACTGGACGATTGGGTGAAAAGGTAATCCCCGAGTAAAAAGTAACATGACTTGTATTAGGACTTTTAGCTACATCTTATTAATTATGTCTGAAGTAAATAACTTTGGTACGTAGCTAAGATGGCATATTCGGGTTCCTGACCAGAATTGCCAAGATTTTACTTCCCGTGGCTTCAGATGACTTGGGGTTCTAGGCAAGGGGCACATGTGTCAGTATCTATATTGATTTTGCAGCCAAGAAGCCACTTGCGCAGATAATGTATTGAACCGCGAAGTGATGTTTTCCGGGACAGTCGACGACGAGATTTGGGGTCCACAGAGTCCTTGCACATGTCCTGCATGAACAGCGCGTATGCCGAGGGTCGTCGTGACAGTCCCACCTCCTGTAACTTCGGCCGGGCCACCATGGCACGAGTAATACTTCGAGGATGGAACCACGAGTCGAGACATGTACAGAGACTCTTTCCGTTCCATTTATTTCAACAAAACTGAATTCTCATGGACTCCCACCGAGAATAACAACCTAGGTTTCAAGTACAAACATTTCTGGTACAATTTCCAGTTGCGCTACATGACTACTCATTATCTTGTGTGTCCGTGGGGAAAGTTACACAGAAGGTGAGTGAGGGCGCGTTGGCTCGCCATATCAGTACATGTCTGGCCTACTTAAAATACGTGCTCAATGCATGGACGACATGCTCCTGAACTTGAACCCACATCACCGCCACTGTCTCACACACGTAGCAGTGCATTACAGAAGTCTGACTAGAAGCATCAATTGCACGGATCAAACACGCGTGCAAAGCGGAATAATCCTCTTTTGGGCCCGACGAATGTGTGCATCGATGCTGAACGACGATGTGCTACGAGGAGAAAAAGTCCAATCACGGGCATGTCAAGTCCGAGTGAACTCAGGAGTCGAACCTTGTCAATCGCTCCTGCAAGTTTTCGGGTGGATCACGTCCTTCGTGGTGCTCCACCCATGACCAACCTTGTGTTACACAGGCTCGACCGGCGGCAGCTTCACCTACTTGTGTCCATGAAATACTACGTGTAATGCTGACTACAGCTGTCTTGTACGACACCTTCCAACGACCATTCTTTGGGTCCGTCCAAACCTGTACAGTATCAGGAACCATGCTCTTCACAAGCTCGTCCGTCGTGGCATTCAGCTTTGCGTACACCCGGTCGTACTGCTGCTTTAGCTTTTTGCTGTCCTTCTCGGCCTTCTGAGTCTTGCGTCGGCGTGTGTCCTGTCCGGCCTTCCAAAAGTCCTTGTCCAGGTCCGAGACGGCGTTCTTGTACATCGTGCATACCTTGGTCGTAGACTTTTGGCCGAAACCGTGGACCGACGGGCACTGAGCTCCTTGAGGGCCTTGTCCTGCTCGCCAATGAGCAGCGTGTCCCGAACGACGGCTTCCAAGTCCTTGTCGTCGACCTCCGGCATCCACTTGTCAGTCTGATGCCTTGCCAGGATTCGTTGAACCACGTCCTCTTCGACCAACGAGTTGTCCATGTTGAGCATGGCGGCAACAGCCAGCTGATGTCCTGCGTCCACACCTGATTTGGGTTGGGTGGCGGTCCAACCCATGTGCTGGCACAACCTGCGCAACAAAGCCTCAGAACAGGCAGCGAAGCCCTGCTCGGCGTGAAAGTCCAACGTGCCCATCTTCTTGTCCACCAAAAACACGATGCCGTTGTTGAGGTGGCTGCCCTGCGTGGAACGACCTCAGCAGTAGCAGTAGCGGCAGCAACACTCTTAGTAAAAAATGATCGCAATCGTTAAGTTTTGCGCCTGGTCAGTAAAAAGCGGTGATATCACTAGGAAGACTGGTAAAAAGACTCGAAAAGGGTAGTAGTAGTAGTAGTAGTAGTAGTAGTAGTAGTAGTAGTAGTAGTAGTAGTAGTAGTAGTAGTAGTAGTAGTAGTAGTAGTAGTAGTAGTAGTAGTAGTAGTAGTAGTAGTAGTAGTAGTAGTAGTAGTAGTAGTAGTAGTAGTACTACTAGTAGTAGTACTACTACTACTAGTAGTTGCAGTAGTAGCAGTAGTAGTTGTAGTAGTAGTAGAAGAAGTTGTAGTAATACTAGTAGTAGGAGTAGTAGTACTGGTACTAGTAGTAGTAGTAGTAGTAGTAGTAGTACTACTACTACTACTAGTAGTACTTGTAGTAGTAGTACTACTACTACAAGCAATCGCAGTAGTTTACAGTAGTAGAAGGAATCTCAGCAACAGTCCTAGTAGTAGTAGTATTACTACTACTAGTACTAGTACTACTAGTACTACTACTACTACTACTACTACTACTACTACTACTAATACTACTGCTAGCACTAGTACTAGCACTAGTAGTATGGCCAAAAAAGTGGTAGCAGTACACACAACCACACCCTCCTTTCGTCAATACCCAAAACCTCGACGCACGTGCCATCCTGGGCTACTCAACCTAACTCTGTGAAACTTCGAATCCTTGACTGTCGAATCGCCTGAGTTGTTCAGAAACCCATAAAAAATAGCTTCAGTGCTACCCCCCCCGGGCCGAAACTTACAATCTGAACCGGAGAAGCCTTCCGTGTCAATCAATCATCGTCACTCATTATAGGACGAATATATATGTAGAGAATGTCCGTGTCGGGCTGACAATGTTCAACTGTACTGCAGCCGAGGCACGCAGAGGTGAAACAACTCGCAGCCGCAACACTTCCAAGTCCAAAGATGTGCTGTGCATCCAAAAGAGAGACCGAACGCCCATGTTGAATTCGAAAAACTCATGGTCCTTGTCCTTAACGATCTTGCCGGGCCATGCGAGTGCAGCCAAACGGTATGTCCGAACGATGAACAACGGGTCTGCACCTGCCAGTACAACATGTCCTTCGGGCAAAAGTCCAGAGCACCAACCTTCTTCACAAAGCGACCATCGCTTGGCCCTCCACGCCTTCATCAGTAAACTGAAGGCAGCCAAAACCTCCTGTTCCTCGGCGTGGTTGTGGGAGACCCAGTCCCTCGTCTTCGTCACGTCTGCAAGAAGCTGTGCTTCCTGCACCTCCGAGGCACTGACCTGCGTGCTGACCGACGAATCGGAACGACGACGAACTGCTTGAATCTTCTTCTTCTCGGTGTCTTTGCAGAAAAGTTTGGCCACGTCAAACGCTGCCGGCGTGTGGTAGAGCTCCGTTGACAGTGCCTCCACCCTCTCGTACATCTTGACCACGGCCTGTTGGGTCACAGCCTTCCATCCGTCCAAACGACCCAAGTCCTTCGAAGACGAATGTCGTTGCTCGGCCTCGCGCTGGACTTTATTACAGTCTTCGATGATCTTCGTGTTCAAGAGGCCCGACCAAATGCTGGTCAATACGTGTGCAACGTCCTCCGTAAGGCTCTGAAACCGGGTAGTGCAAAGATCGGCGAGGATGTACCGACTAATCGGCCCTTGGGAGAAATGACCTTCGAGCAATTTTTGCCATACGAGAACCACCACTGTGCGTGTCCTGGATACAAGACTGCATCTCTTTGAAAAAATCCAAGCTTGCCCGACGGAACTGCTCTTCAGCATGGACTAGTCCTGCGGTCGCACCGAAACCTCCAGTATGGTACAGCTGTGCCCCGGCCCGCAGCCGCAGGATCTGTAGTGTCAACTGCGTCATTTGGCCTGCGAGCGAGTCCTGCCAGACAAGCTCTGTCTCCTCCGGGGGTTGTGCGCGTGCCAGTGTCAGGTCGAGGCCGACACGAGATAAACCTTCCAAATTCGACAAAGTCCTGACGTGGTCCTTTGCAGTGCTCATCCAAGACCAGTGTGCCCAGCCAGAGTAGTAGTCCTTCGTCATGCCTTTGGAACGCAGCTGCTTGAGCATGAGCGAACAACGAAGCTCTTCGGGTTGCAAGACCTGGAACATCATCCTGGCTGTCGTCTTGTTGTCCTGCGAGATCACGAACTTCGTCATTAAGTGTAGACTGTTCGCGCTGCCCTTCCGCTCCTGGTCCATGCCTTGCTTGGCCTCCTGTATGGCAGAAGACTTGCTTCCACCATATGGAACCGAGGCACGGGCCTGGTTGCTGTCCTGCGAGAAGAGGTCCTTAGTGGAAACTGCCCAGTTGTGCTCCAAGCAGACCACCGTGAGAACTAAAGCCAAGACCGACCACTCTTTGTCCAGCGCGCTGTGGGCCGTCGTCAGGGAATTGAACCGACTCTTGCTGGCCTTCGTGCCCTTGATGCGGATGCAGTCCATGTCGGGTAATGTCTGCAAAAACGACCTGCGTTTCTCCTCCGTGTTGTCGTCCAGGGGGGAGAGGCCGGCGTCCAGCAGAATGTCCGGGAAGAAAAGGAGCAATATCGGGTCCGAGGGGTCCATGTTGTCCTTCATGCGATTTGCGGCTTGCTGGATCTTCAACGCCCACGAGCCCTTCTGCCAGGGTCCATACCTGATGTTGTACAGCGAGATGCACCATGTGCAGAACTTCAGGAGTCCAGCGGCCGACAAGGCCAAAGCCACGTCGTTGTGCGACCTGTGGGCGGGGTCCGAGACGTGTTCGATCCAGAGGCTCTTTTTGTTCCTCAAGAAGGAGACAGCCGCCAGCTGTGTTGCTTCTTGGTCGGTGCACAAAATCATGATCGGTGCACGTTTAGCCTTCGTGTCGTCCTCCGCGGGGCCGGCCGGCGTGCTCTGGCAGCAGCCAAAAGTCCAGCCAATGGGTCGCAAGCCGTGGTTTATGTCCTGCATCCAAGACAGTGTGGCCAGCCGGTCCTCCGCATGACCAGGTCCAACGGGTTTCTCGATCCCGAGGAACTTCTTGGAAGCCTTGTTCCACATAGCTTTCCACTGCTCAGCCGACAAGACGGACGATTTCTGGACCTGCTGCGTGGTCTGACTACACAGAGAAAAATGTGAAGCAAAGCTTAGAGGAAGAGCTTGTCAGCAACAGCATGCAAAACAAACGACAGAGGTTGTTACCATATAATCACCCAGGGGCCCTTTTTTGGGGGACCGGCCGGTCAACTTAAGCGGGGATCTGGCGTACCTTTTTGGGGGCCGAAATGCAGCCAAAATGTGGCCGAAATGCGTTCCTCGGCCTCCACCCGGGACCCGGTCAACTTAAGCAAGGCTGTGCGTACCTACTCATCAGTAGAAGGGCGGCCGGGAGCCTTTATCAGGCCAATCCCGAAACCCAGGGGTCAGCGGGGATACGTGTACCTATCTTTATATAAAATACAATAGAAAGACTCCGCCCCAAACCGAGCCTGAGCGGGGATACGTGTACCTCCCCTCGGAAAAACGATTTTGGTCGGACCCAGAAGCTACGAAAACGGCACCCAAAAAGGTCAACTTAAGCAAGGCTCTGACGTACCTCGCCTCTTGCCTAAAACGCCTCAGAAATATGTGTTGCTTAACAAAAAAAAAAAGCGCCTGCGGCGGGCAGACCCAAACTTTGTCCGTCGTGTGGTTGTACACCATGATGTTCAGCCAATCGTCACTTCCCACGTGCACTGCATCTGCCACCACGCACAAAATGTCCGTCGAGAGGAAATCTGACTTGCCCTGCGTGACATAGGCGTATCGCTCCATGCGTGCTAGCCTGTGTGCGTCCATAGAAGCGTGCTTCTTGATCTTTTGTTCGTCCTGCTGTTCGCTGCTGTCCTGCACGGTGAACGCATGTCCTTGCAATGTGGAGGTAAGTGTCCTGCGTGTGGCATTCGATGAACTCGCAACCTCTTGTCGAAAACTCGTGGACGACCGACGATATCCGGAGGTGCTCCTGAAACAACAGGGGGAATATCAATTTTCGGGCTTTCAAGACACAACCCTACATCTTAAAACCCCGGAACCCTCCAAACCCTTCAAACCCTCCAAACCCTCGAATCGAAACCTCTCTCCTAAGCTGCATCACTTGCTTCACATTCAAAGATGTCCAGCAGGAATGCGTGTCGTCCGACGAATCCATGGCACGTGCCAAAGCCGCCAACAAGTAGTACTTCGTCCTCAAACTAGATGACTTGCGAGTGTCTCCAATTGTCCGACGGGTGCAGTCCACATTCACATCCTGCAGCACGTCCATGAATCGGGAACGATCGCGGTGTAGTACTTTAGCAAGTAAACTGTTTTGCAGTACAACCTCGTCCACGTCCAGCGAACCTCCTTTGAACGGCAGCACCAGAGTGTTTCCGTCCCACGTGAATGAGAAGTCCTGCGGGGTCTGCAGGAACAAGGAAGCGAGGCCTTGAAGCAACTCCCCGGCCAGCTTGGATACCTCCTCTGCCGGCTTCTTCCATTTGGCATCTTTGCGCATACCCTGGTGCCATTGATGCAAAAGAACAATCGTTGCAAAGCTCGACGTGGCAAACTCTGTACAACGTGTGCTTCGTCCAGCTGCTACCTCTTCCATCTGGTCACCCGTGTGCTCCTCATTGTCCGCTTGCTCGTTGTCGTCCTCCATGTCGTCCTGCATCTGCTGCGAGGATGCCTTTCGTTTGGTGCCCTTCTTCTCGGCGTTTGCAGCGTGCTCCTGCTGCTTGAGGAGGGAGAACGAACTCTGGAGAAAGTGCGACTCGATCTCTTTTTTCAGAGCGTCCTCCGTGTCTGTCCAGCAGGGCCATGCAATCGTGAAGAGCTTGTTCCTGAACGTCGACACACTGCCTGCGAGGAAATTTCGAGACTCGTGTCCTCCGAGGAAGTCCACAAACCAACGCATGTGCCAAAAACGATGTCCATCCGTTACCTTGGTCTGCGGCTCTTTGAACTTGTAGCTCTCGCCCTTGAGGCTTCCGTGTGTCCCGCAGGGAATGCAAAATGCAACTGTCCGACGCTTGTCCGACGCAGAGCTGAAAAAAGCTGGAGGTCCTGAAGAAGAGGGTCCATCGGCAGAAGCGGGCTCCAGCATCTGATAGCGAGTGGATCAATTCTACAGTCTGTTTCTGGTGAACGAATGTAGCAAAACTTTATAGGCTATGTCCCAGGAAGTATATGTGACATCTGCCAAACCAAGAGAAAGGGAGGCTCTGCAGGCATGCAGCTTTTATTCTGGAAGCCCAAAGACAGCGGCAACGAATCGCTGATGTCGCAAGGCAGTGCTCACACCACGTGTCATGGGTCTGTGTTCTTCTGCAACATGTATGTAGCACATACTGCAAGGCACCGCAAGGAAGTCATTATTGCAGTCAGCCATTCATCGCACGTATTCTTTTATGCAGCTTGCAAGTTGCCGGCTTCACGGCCCCAGTGAAACTCGTGCCTGTCCACTCACTCAGACACAATGGGTCGAACGGCGAGGCGAACGACATTGTGCTTTTCGAGTGAACAAACTGGACAGAACAACGAGTAAAGTCAACCCCAAACTCAAGACACACTGAACTACCAGGAGAGAGTGCATTATGCACTCCGGACCGACGGGGTGCCCTGCGGCACATTGTCGCCGAGGCCAGCCGTGGTGTCTGCGTCCGACGACAAGTCGAAGGTCCACTTGGCCTTCATGTCCGGCAAAGTAGGAAAGAAACTCGCGCATTCAAAACTGAACAACGAGTTATGCTGTCCATCTGAAATGACACAGTCCACCGCAAAAGGGTCGTCCAATTGCCACGTCTTGTTGTCCGGGAGAGTAGGAAGCTCGTGGCTGAGGTACGACTCGTTGGGTACGAACTCCGAGCGGGAACGGCGAGGGTGTCCATCTTGTGTGGCAAAGACGTGGCAGTACAACGTGTTGTTCTCAAGTGACCAGATGTTGTACCTGTCCCGGTCAACACTGATAGCCTCCGCCGAGTTCACCGCAGCTATGTAGTTGCGACCAACGTCCTCCATGCGGGCCCTCGCTAACTTGACCAACGTGGACTGATAGCGAATGTCCGCACGAGATGGCAAGGACGCCGACTTGGCTGCCCAGAACTGGATCTCGAAGAGGGTCCGTACGACGGGTTCGTCCTTCTGTACGTCCTCCGCGAGCTCCACACCGCAATGCTTGAGCATTAAGCTCGCCATCTCAAGCGGCAAACTGCCCCATTTGGTGCACTTGCCCTTCCATCTCAGTCCACCGGTCTCCTCCTTCTTGGCAACGTCCTTCAGAAGACCATTCAACGAGCCCGAGCGGATCAGACCAGCGAGTGGAGAAATCCAAGTCGGGTTCTGGGTCAGCGTGTCTTGAATGAACCGCATGTCCACGTCGAGTATGGTGCTTTTGGAGTGCTGAACGGCGGATGCGAACGTCGCCTCGTTGCGCTCCCGGGTCTTGATGTCCTTCGCTTTCTGCTTCGCCAGCTGCTTGAGGGTGGGCTTGCGGGGGCCGGCATCACGAGGCATGCTGGGCAAGGTCCGTCGAGGAAGAACGACGGGGGAAGGATGATAAGACTGCACGAAGTCTCAACGCACAGGCAGGACGGCTTCGGAAAACCAAACAATCAATCAAGCCCTGCTGCTGGGTGGTCTCACAGTGCATTGTGACTGGACGAACATGGCAAGCAAGACACAAAGCGTAGACCGCACGAGAGCACAGTGCCTGAAACGAGAAGGCTCAGCGGCAGCGATGCCGGCCAATGGAGTCCGTGTCCTCCATATGAACAGGACAACAGCGATTGCAAGAGCGCCTTCCTCCAGCTGGTTGACTACTGGTCTAGTAATTACTCGTAGCAATACTAATCCAGATTGCGAAGAGTAGTACTAGCAGCAGTACCACTACTCATTAAAGAAAGGAAAAACCAGTAGGCCGAAATTGCAGTCCCTATTAGTTGAAGTAGAAGTATTTAGTAGTAGTAGTACTAGTAGTACTAGTAGTAGTAGTAGTGTACTAGTAGTAGTAGTAGTAGTAGTAGTAGTAGTAGTAGTAGTAGTAGTAGTAGTAGTAGTAGTAGTCGTAGTAGTAGTACTAGTACTAGTACTAGTCGTAGTAGTAGTAGTAGTAGTACTAGTCGAAATAGTAGTAGTAGTAGTAGCAGTAGTACTGGTTAGCTAGTAGTAGTAGTAGTAGTACTAGAAGTAGCAGTAGTAGTCGTAGTAGTGCTAGCAGAAGTAATAGTAGTACTAGCTAGCTAGCTAGCTAGCTAGCTGGCTAGCTAGTAGTAGTAGTAGTAGTACTAGTAGTAGTACTACTAGTAGTAGTAGTAGTAGTAGTAGTAGTAGTAGTAGTAGTAGTAGTAGTAGTAGTAGTAGTAGTAGTAGTGGTAGTAGTAGTAGTAGTAGTACTAGTAGTAGTAGTAGTAGTAGTAGTAGTAGTAGTAGTAGTAGTAGTAGTAGTAGTAGTAGTAGTAGTAGTAGTAGTAATTAGTAATTAGTAGTAGTAGTAGTAGTAGTAGTAGTAGTAGTAGTAGTAGTAGTAGTAGTAGTAGTAGTAGTACAGTAGCAATGCTAGTAGTACTTGTACTAGTCGTGGTAGTAGTCGTAGTACTGAGTTGTACACCTCATGATTATTTTCCTGAATCAAGCCACACCCGAAGCCCCTCTGTGGACAAGTATGGTGAACTTCCAGAAGTGAAATCGGTTTATACCATGCACTGTAAGTAGATCTAGTTAAGGAGACACCACCCGCAATGAATAGGCCAGAACTAACCTTAATGATTCACAGCCACAAACAACAAATCTAATGTGTAACGCCCAACACTAAAATTTACCGCTCACCCTCGATTCTATGCACTCGATGCTTGAAATGCTGAAATGGCAACCCAGGCAACAAACCGGACTCCAATTGCTCAAAGGCCTTTAACTCTTTATGTCTACGGCAATTGCTCCATGTCTGCTGCAGGTGGATCCTAACTTACCTCAGAGTCCGCGAATGCCTTGTCACAATCCGAAAGCATGACCCCTGACTTAGTCCTCGTCCTGCCGTGTGGCCGTGCCCTGCGAACCGAACGAGGAGTGACCGACCTCAATTGCAATGCATGAAGCACATGACAAACCTAGTACGAGTGACTGGTGACTGCGGGTGGTTCAAGCACTTGTCGCTTCCGAGTGTGACAGGAAAGAACACAGCAACTGTGCCGATGCAAATCGTCACAAACTGTGCAGCACCAGAACTCCGAGGACCCCGCCAAAGAGGTGCCAGTCCATGTCAGCAACCTGAAGCGCAAAAGTTTAAGTCAGCAAACAGTGCGATAGGAACTAACATCCGGCAAATGTAAAGTGTGCCAGGACAACTCTTTTGAACGGCGAGAGCGAACTGATCTGAACTCCGAGTGCAGAAAACGTGTCACTTCGAGACTGGCCGGCGAGAGCGAACTGCTCCAGAACTCCAAATGGAGACTGGCCGGCGGGTACGTCGTGCTTGAACGAACTGCGGCTAGTTCCACGAGCCCGGTCCAAGTTCGAGTTTCTTGAGAAACAGTCCGATGCACTGAAAGTCGATCGTGTCACCTGAACCAGCGATGTCCGAAAATTTGTCGACTTGGTAAGTATTTCAGTTATACTACAAGGTTTACCAACAAAAATCTTACTGGTTCTGCTGTTGCACGTCCGTCGGGGCCCTTCGTGATGCAGAAGTACAAGTCCGACGCGTTGTGCGACGACACCGCGTAGTACATGTGGCCCTGCCAGGGAACGGGGACGGCCACCGGGTAGGCCTCCCAGTCGCGGTTCAGCATCTCGACCATCCACGATTGCGGGTGTCGGGAACCGAACAGCGGGGAATGGAGTCCGGCGGAGAGGGCGCTGTCTGTCCTGCGCTGGGCCGCCCCGAGTATCTGCTTGAAGCAGAGCCTGGACCGGCAGTGGGTGCTGCGTGTTTAACCACTCACACACACAAGTGCAAGTACTGGAATGCTTGAATGACTGAGTGCGCTGATGTCATAGCTGAGTGCCACACTCCAACATTTTATCGCCCTGCATGTGTTCGACGAGTATCTGCCAGCCGTCGTCCTTCCTGCTAGGGAACAATTCAATTATCAGAAACACAAACTATTAAAATCTAGAAGTCTCTCTCACTCACCGTCCGAGGAGTCCGTGTCGCGAAGGCAGGGGGCCGCTTGTACAGCAGTCCATCGGTTGCAGCAAGCCAAGACCAAAGCCTACGGGATGTGCTCTGTGGAAAATAATCAATGTATTATAATATTATATGGCTTTAAAAGCATGCACCTTCATAGAAACCACGCTACAACCAACATGGGTGTAACGAGCCTGTCCGCCCATTTCTGCTGCGTGTCGTACGGCGAGTGTTCGGGTACAAAGACAGTCGAGAGCCATTCGGTGCGCCATTCGGGCATCCTGTCGGGTTGTCCAGTGCGGAAATAATATGCCTGCGCAAGGCTCAGATCGGCGAGGAAGCACTGCAAATCCTCCTGCGAGTCAATGTCCGGCGGAAGGCAGTCCAAACAGTTCGACGGCAGCTGCTCGCAATAATCGAGATTACGCTGCAGGATGGTACTTGGGTCTTCCATCCCACAGACCGACGCGAGGTAATAGTCCATCGCACGAAAATCGAATATGACCTCGTCCTGCGGGTCGGTGGAACGGCGAAGAAAAAACGGGAGTCCATGGGGAAGTCCTGCTCGGTCAGCGGAACCGGAGGACGACATGTCCGACGAGAAAGAACGAGGAAAGGGAGAGGAATGATGATGACAGTGGCAGGTGGCTTGGGCTTTCTGGCAGCGGCATGATAACAATGATTCTGTGTCTAGGCTTCTTTAAAAAACCTAAAGCATCACCAACCACGACAGACCATGATGCTTCAGATGAAAGTCTGCCTGACTTGTGCTGCTGCTCCACACTGGCAAGTGCTAGGCTGCCCACGGTGATCTACGTGTGCCCACTCGAAGTCCAGCGGAGTCACCTTTGTGAGGCCGACGTTAGTACTACATGGGAACCATGGACTCATGATTTGTCCCTAGTCCTTCGGGGTGGTCCTGCGGTGCCGCTTTTGAGCTTCCTAGCTTAAATCATAGTAACTTCGAATGCAAAGTGCACAGAAAAGGAGCTTGGACAGTCCTAGGAACCGACCTTGAACAGTCTGGTTACAAAACCCAGCATTCTTTACAAGAGGCAAGCTGCATCGAACTCCGAACGACCGTTGCAATGTGTACTGACGACCCAGGCCTTGTGTCTAAGTCTTCAAACTGACATGTATAACTATGATTCTAAACTGCATTCAGTCAGCTGCTAACCACCCTTGTCCCAAAGGAACCCCACACCCTGTGTAAACCCGACAGCTGAAACACAGACTCTGTGTGTGTGTGTGGGTGTGTGTATGTGTTGTCCTGTGTATGTCCTGCGAGTGCCAACAGCTGTTGCTTAGTGTTGCATGGGAAACCAGATGAACACAACGTCCCAAATGAAGTCCCCAATCTCAGAAGATGTAAGTAACAAGCGAAGAAACCTGTAAGTAGCATCTCAAGACAAGATGGTTCCAAAGGCAACCGCTAAAGAAAAGTATAAGTACCAGGAGAACAAACAGGGAATGTGCATTCTCGAGTCCAGTACCATTATACCACTGCACAAGTGCAAGAACTTACTGTACTTACCCTGTGCCCTGAAGAGAACCATCCTTTAAACCCAAACAAAAAAGCATGAACAGACCTGAGCTTGCAACGAAGGATTGCGCATGGAAGACCTGATGCGAGGAAGCTTGAGGGCTTCTCCTCTTTAATATTTTATAATTCTGAGTATTAATATAATATTATTATTGCCTGATGTGAAACCTCCACAAAGACTGAGACACCCAATCCAAACCACTTTTTGACTGTCCATGGTTTGAATATCAAAAAGCTCGTAAATTAAATATGAAGACAGACCTTTCCTGAGAGGGAAGAATAACGATTCTGAAGCCCCCTGTAGACTACTGCAAACTCCATTATCGCAAATCCACCTCTGAGTCTTTGCCATCCGACTTAACATTTACATAGAAGACATGGACACCACATTTTCCTAGCCGCATGGCATATGAGAAATATGAATTATCTGTGCAGTAACGGCGCGGCAAAACAGCTAACTCCAAACCGTGATAAATCTTTCATAAGAGACCACGACCCAACCAGCAACACATGATCGGAGCCGCTCTGAGCACCCAGCTGCGAAGAAAGGGTGGCTTCAAAGCACCTGACGCTGGCAAACACTGGCATGCTGATACGACTCACTTACTACCTCAGGAAAGCATTCTGCGGCAACGACTGCAGAACCGCACTTTTTCCTGCTGTGTCCGGCGAGTCGAGAAGTTGGCGAGTCGAGTACCGTGTATCAGACCGACGAATCAGGATATTTCTCTGTCTATTCCAGGATGCTGCTATGCGGCCTTCTAAAACATTAATTTAATAGTTTGTCCTTCGAGGAACCCTCAATTCTAATATGCACGGGAACTACGGGGGACTCCGTCCTCCGGGGGGAGCAGCCGGCTTGCGGATGCAGGCGGGTGCCTGCTTTGCCGCCGGGGCGGCCTTCGGGATGCTGGGAGTCTTCGCCTGGAATCAGGACATGTAATGACTAAGCAGGAAATACATGCAACATGTCACCGAGGCCACCGAGTGCAATCAAGACACAGCTGTGGCTGGTCCGGCGGGTTTAGCGGGAAGTCCTGTGCAGAACAGAAGCAGCCACTCGAAACAATGTCACATGTGCAAGTAGTTGAAGCTACATATCCCAATGAACGGCGAGCAAAAAACAAATCAACATTCTTGAAGCGAACCTAAGAAACCATGTCTAGCTTATTATAAAGCATACCGAACCAACGATGCAGGGCCACTGTTTCTGCATACTGGCACTGTGAACTGTGTGAACACCTGCTATTGTTCCGACCGTACACCCCTTCTTTGCTGGGCTCCATATCCAAGGAAGAAGTGCTGGACACAGGTGTAACTACTGAACTCTAATAAGTGATTAAAACTAACCAAAGAAACCAAGCTTGTGCATGATGTGGACACAAGAACTGCTGGCTATTTCTTGTGCATCCAGCTAACTAACACGTGTAACAGACTCGGTCCACGATCCACCGAAAAGGCATCGAACACATAGGATAATATGCTTTGTTTTGCCACCTGCGGCCCCCGTGTCCCCTCCACCTCGTCCCTGGCACCTCTCTAATCTAATGCTGCTGACGGACATGGGTGCCCTCTGCTGGAACAGGCCACCCCCTCCAGTACTAGTACTAGTACTAGTACTAGTACTAGTACTAGTACTAGTACTACTACTACTACTACTACTACGACTACTACTGCTACTACTACTACTACTACTACTACTACTACTACTACTACTACTACTACTACTATGACTCATTAAGATTACGGATGTGCAAGTCCAACATGGTAAGTAAACTACTAAAGTACGATTAGTAAGTACTAAAGTACTTCTTTTGTTGCCTTACTTGTACTAGAACTACGATGAAGAATGACTAATTGTACTAGTAATAGGACTATAGTAATGCCTTCACAAGAACTTAACATAATTCCGAACCGAAACCCACATACGTGAAATCGGCGTGGCACTACTAAGCAATCCCCTGTATTAAATTAATGCCTTCCCCTTGCAGTCCTGCGTCGTGCTCTTGGACCTGCGAGAGCTGCATGGCCAAGTAGTCCGCCTCGAGTTTCTTGCGCTCCATCTCGATCTCGAGTTGCTTCATGAGGAGTTCCCTCTCGGTCGGCCCGCGGGGGGGGGCCTGCGAGGATGACGAGGCCGCCGAGGAGAACTTCACGGCCGTCGTGGTTGTGGCCTGCGAGTGAGTCGGAGTCGGCAAGCCCGAGTGCTGCTGCTCTGGCCGCCTTCGTTTTGGCCTTCGAGATTGGTTGGATAGGCGGTACAGCGGGTGCAGGGGCGGCGGGTCTGGAAACGGCGGGTGCAGCGGGTGGGATCTTCGAGGTTTTGAGAGGTGGGGCCTGCGGCTGTCGGGTGGTAGCGGGTGGTGCTGCCTCAGCTGCGCGTGCTGACGTGTTTGCCACATAGGCAGCCCATTCGGGTCGAACTTGGGGTCGAGGCTTCGGCGGGGCCCGCGCTCGTGGACCGCCTTCACCGGGTGGATCCAGAACAGTGCCGTGTCCGACCAGTGGCTTGGCGCCCGGCGTGGACCGGACCCGGGGAGGAGGCCTGTCGGGTGGACTGTACGAGTACAGGTCCTTCGGGGCGCCCGTGGCAGGCTCGTAGTCCGACGGGTCGTAGGTGTGGTCGTCGTCGAAGGCGAGAACTCCGGAGTCCGGCGTGTCGTAGCCCTGCTCCCGAAAAATACTTCGTGCGCTTCCGGCGTGCTT